TTATTTTATTTTATTTTATTTTATTTTATTTTATTTTATTTTATTTTATTTTATTTTATTTTATTTTATTTTATTTTATTTTATTTTATTTTATTTTATTTTATTTTATTTTATTTTATTTTATTTTATTTAATCTAATTTCATTTCCTTCTGTTCAACCATACCATTCCATCCCATTTTATTTCATTTCACATCTTCCTATTTCATTTTATTTCACCAAATTCGCTTTCATTTAATTTAAATTCACTCCATCCGTATCAATCATCTCACAAATCACTTCACTTTTTCCATGTCATTTCATTTCATTTCATTACGCTTCACACTTCATGTAATTCAGTCAATTAAATTTTTATTTTATTTTAATTCATTATGTTCTAATCCACACCATGCCATTCCATTCCATTTAACATAATTCCCTTCATCCCATTCTATTTATTTCATGCCATACCATATTATTTCCTTTCATTTCATTTCGTTCAAACGTATTATATTTCATTCCAATTTATTTTATTTCATTCCATTTTATTTTATTTCATTTCTTTCCATACCATTTCATTTCATTCCGTTCAGCTCCTTCCCACTACCTTCCATTTCGTGCCATTTCATCTCATCCCTTTTTATTTTAGACCATTTAATTTCATTGCAAGCCATTAATTCTATACATATTTCATTTCATTATATTTCGTTTCTTCTCATTTCATTTAATTCTATGCCAATACTTCGTTTCCTATTCCATTTTATTTCATTTCGTTTAAAGTCATTCCATTCTGCTTTATTTTATTTCGTTTTAATTTATTTTATGTATTTTTCTTTGTTCTCCATTCTACTTCTTTTGTTTAAATTCATCCCTTTTCTTTTCTTCTTTTTTTCATTTCTCTTCTCTTCCCTTTTCATTTAGTTTTTTTCTTTTATTTAAATTCCTTGCTTTTCATTTCTTTCATTCCCACTTTTTTTCTTTCCTCTCTTTTTCATATTCCCTCGAAAACATTCGCTGACCTCTCCACACTTTCAGGTCAAACGGGCGGCGTCAGCGGCTGCGGTACACCCGGCTCTGGTCCACATTCGGGGCCCATGGGATCTGGCGGCACCGGTCCGCGTCGCATGAACAATAAAACCAAGGATTTGGTTAGTCCGAAATCAGGTATGTTACAGTTGTTGTGCGCCTAAAAGTCGACTAAGTTTATGCGTTTCTTAATTCCTTTTTGCGCTAAATATTCATAAC